GTAGGACGAAACCACGTTGAGCCAAGAAACCGGACGCGACCATAACGACCAAGCGTATGCCAGGCGAATTCGAGACCAGATAATCGACTGAGTGCGTTGACTAGAGCATGGGTGGCCAAACCAGCTTTTGCCAAAGTTGACTGAAGTCGACGTTACCGAACGGGCGATGGTCGGAGGCGTGGGCTCAGGATACAAAAAAAAATAAAAAAAAAGAAAAGTGTAGCATGCGTGTAGTATAGGAATAATCCTACACCGTATCCGTTATTGACTGTGCGTTTAGTCGCGAAAGCGTACGGGTAATTGTACTCGGCGATCGGAACGTGAGACGGTAGTCTCGTTCGTACTTCGTGAGCCTGCGATCTCATCCGAGGTCAAGGGCGGCGTGGTCTACCGATCTGGACGTGAGACGGAAGTCTCGTCCGTAGATGGTGCAGATGACGCGTGCTGTTGACCGGGACGTGAGAACGAGGTCTCTGATATATCTAGCGTGGGATCCGAGGTAGACGTAGAGATCCCGCTAGAAGGTTTGATAGGTCTAGCATTGAGTCTCAAGTTATCGGGTAGGGCACTGTCATCGACGTGTGCTGGTTTGAGACGATCAATGCTGACGATCTCGACGCGGCCGTGTCGATCAACCTTGAAGGTCTTTTCGTGACGAGAGATCACGTGAAAAGGGCCTTCGTAAGGCTGTTGCAAAGGTTTGCGTACCGAATCTATTCGTATGAAAACATGTGAACAGGTAGATAACTCTCGAGGGAGAGCGACCTGTCGATGTTGTATTCGAGTTGACACCGGAGACAGCGTTCGCATAAATGCAGACAGTCGATGGACGTAGTCTGATTTACCGAAATCATTACTGCTCCGTGGTGTGAAGAATTCCCCAGGCAGACGCAATGTCGTGCCGTATACAAGTTCAGCGGCGGAACATTGAATATCTGCCTTCAAACTCGTTCTGATGCCTAAGAGAACGAGCGGTAAGGTTTCGTACCAATTGTCATTTTCGTGTGCTCGAAGAGCACTTTTAAGTTGGCGATGAAACCTTTCGACTAAACCATTCGATGCTGGATGGTAGGCGGTAGTGCGTATGCGTTCCGTACCAAGCAGCCTGGTCAGTGAGGAGAATAATGCGGACTCGAATTGTTGTCCTCGGTCAGTCGTGACAGTCGAGGGACAACCGTACAATGCTATCCATCGTTCTACGAAGCGGTGAGCAACTGTCTCCGCCGTGATAGACGTGATGGGAATAGCTTCGGGCCATCTTGTAAAACGGTCAATGCACGTGAGTATGTGATCATACCCATGCGATGGTGGCAATGGTCCTACAATGTCTATATGAACGTGATCAAAGCGAGCATCAGGCGTAGCGAACGTGCCAATGGGGGCAGCTACGTGCCTGTGCACTTTTGATCGTTGACACTGTAAGCATTGCTTTACCCACATACGAACATCTTTATTCATGGACGGCCAGACGTATCGTGCAGCAATGAGACGTAAGGTGGCTGCGATACCTGGATGAGACAATCCATGAAGGGCATCGAAGACGAGACGGCGATAGGTAGAGGGTACGATGGGTCGAGGAAGACCGGTAGAAATATCAAATAGAATAGTACCTGAGCTAGTAGCTAGGGGTACTTCCTGACACTGAAGGGACGAAGATTGTGGTGCTTTTGTACAGACAGGATCGTTTGCTTGCGCGGCGGCCATAGCAGGAAGACCGAGCACCGGTAAGGTAACTGCATTCGTCTGGATACGTGATAGAGCATCGGCAACATAGTTCGACTCGCCTTTAATGTGACGAAGGTCTGTCGTGAATTGGGAGATATAGTCCAAATGTCTGCACTCTCGTGGTGAGTAGCGGTCAGACTTGGTATGCAGGGCATACGTTAAGGGCTTATGGTCGGTGAATAAGATGAATTGACGTCCTTCTACTGCGTGCCGGAAATGTTTGATGGCGCAGTGGGCTGAAAGCAGCTCGCGACCAAAAGCGCTATATCTCGTCTCCGTGGGAGTAAGGCGTCGTGAGAAAAATTCAAGCGGTTGCCAACTACCGGAGATATTTTGTTGCATGACGGCTCCTATAGCGAAATCTGATGCATCAACCGCTATACTAAGCGTGGCTGATGGGTCAGGATGAGCGAGAAGTGTAACTTCAGCGAGAGCCGTTTTGATCTCTGAGAATGCAGTACGTGCGGTATCGTTCAATTCTAATTTGCGTGGATTACCGCGTAGTAAATCGGTTAATGGTCGTAACCGTTCTGCCGCGTGAGGGATAAAACGTCGGTAGAAGTTAACCAAACCGAGAAAAGCCTTCAGTTCCTTGATTGAGGACGGCACGTTGTACTCCTTGATTGCTCGAACTTTGTCCTCGCAAGGCAGAATACCCTCTTGTTTGATGATGTGACCCAGAAATATTATTTCTGATTTACCCAATTCACATTTCTCTGGGTTGACTACTATTCCATTATCCGAAAGACGTTGGAATGCTAGCGTAAGATGTTGATAATGTTCATCTACGTTTGATGATGCGATCAGCAGGTCATCAATATAGACGTGAACAAAATCCAAGTCTCGTACTATGCTATCGATAAACCTTTGGAAAGTTTGAGCAGCATTCCGTAATCCGAATGGCATTCGTAGGAACTCAAACAGACCGAAAGGAGTCGTGATAGCAGTTTTTTCGATGTCTTCAAGAGCGACTGGGATCTGGTGATATGCTCGTACCAGATCGATTTTAGAAAAGATAGTCGTGCCCTTGAGCGATGCCGTGATGTCGTGTATGTGGGGGATGGTGTAGCTATCAAAGCGCGTAACTACGTTTAAAGCTCGGTAGTCGCCGCATGGTCTCCAACTAACCCCATCCTTTTTGCGCACCATGTGTAAAGGAGAGGCCCAAGGACTGTGAGAAGGACGAATAATACCAGCAGATAGTAAATTGTCAAACTCACGTTTAGCGAAGGCTAATTTGTCCGGTGCCAGTCGGCGTGGTCTTGCCATGACTGGTGGTCCGCGGGTGACTATGTGATGTACCATACGATTGGTCACCGACGAAATCTCCTCGAGTGGTTTAGTTATTCTGGGGAATTTCTCGAATAAGGCGTGGAATTTATCGTCACGCGAATAAAAAGTGCCGAGGATTCGGTACGCGTACATCGGAGTCTATTATATTAATACTATTCTTATCGTTATCCGTCATGTCAAATATATTATATATTAAAAATTAATATGAAAATATATGACAGACGTGGATAGATAAAACAATAGACTCACCGAATCGCCTTCTTTGAAAGATTTGTTCGAGGTTGAGGCGTGTTCCAATATTTGGCTCACCAAATGTAGCGTGGTGTCGAGTTGAGCTTGACTATGAACACCGCTACAAGACTACGTGCCAATTAACCAATAAGATCCCCGTAGGCCAATATCAGAAGACAGATGATGGCTGTAGTCGAGATGTATTTGTTGGCGATCTCGTGGTATCGAAAGAATACCGAGATCGTGCCAAAGGAGTACAAGCGTGGTTACTGAGCGTAACCGAATTCGTACAAGTTCAAAGTCAACGGGAGAGTAAGTAAGTATATTGGCTGTCATTAGCACAGTTAAACAAACGAGCACAGTAAAACAGTCACTGGTACAATTGGTTATAATAATAATTGTTTTTATTGAACCAATCGCGTTCTGTTGACAAAAGTAGGTCACTACACACTTCTGGTTGTTGTTACATACTACTTATATCTGTCAACATAAATAGCATACACCACATGGTGACTAGAAGCCCAGCTTTCGTTGTCGCATGCTAGTAAAAGGAAAAAAGGGAATTGTATTGCTATCAGTTTTATGAAGTGTTCATTTTTCGAGGTAGCTAAGTAGGGGTCATATCACTTCTGTGAAAACTTCTAGTCATTTTTCGTAGATCACAACATGGCGACGTCTTCTTTATTAGAATTCAGATGTGAATAATCGTGTCAGTCTAATTTTGCATTGTATCAGTTCAGTAAGTTATCATTCTTTTGATGCCTTAGTTTTTAATATTTCGGGTATCGACTGTGTGCACCTGAAACTGGTTTTTACACTATATCCAACAATATACACGTTGTTTAATTTGATGCCTAAAATTATCATTGGTTTGGTTGCTTGAGCTTTGGTTTAATGGTTAAAAAGTTTTACTTTTATCCCCCAAACCCCAAGTTCAAACCTCATCTCAATACTTTGTTTTAAACAACCAGATAGTACCATTAGTTCTCACACTTGGAATATGCCTCACACCTAAGTATTTGCTAAATTAATTAATTAGGAATTTTAAAACTATTTTAATTGCTTTATCATAATCTGGTATCTTAACGTTTCTAACCTTCTGATAGAAGTATAGGTGTTCAAGCTTTTTATTTTCACGGAGGTTGAGTCAAATAATTTGACTTAGTTTTCAGACTATTTAACCTAACTATCGGTCAACGGTATCCATTTTATTCCCGATACTTTCATATGCTCTGATGGGTGATATCAACAACTTCTAATCAAACTTATTGATTGTTTCTGATGCTAAGTCTGTATCAATAAAACAACCATATTAAACTAAATGGTATTTAAAACTGTTATACGAAGGATTCGTGGCCTAAAGTAATTTCAGGAGTTAGATTTATTTCCTGTTTATTTAGAATCATTTGAGTCAACCTAAAATCATTCTAAGACTTCATATGTTAAGATTTAAAGTGCTCCAATCTTATAAAAAAATATACGTTGAGTTTTACCAAAAGAAAGTCGTAACTTTCATTTTCATGATATTGAACATATAGATGATATCAGAATTCCCTACTTTCTTTATAGATCACAGAATCCTTGCTAAGATCCCCATTACATTTTATATTTATTTTAATTAATACGCTTATTTGTGGGACACTACTCACTTGTTTAAGCTGTCGAAAATATATTGCTCATAGTAGTGTTATAAAGTATGAATCAACAAATTTTTGCCATTTTTTCTGTAAATTTTCATTTTAAAAATATAGATAGTTACACAAATGGAATCAGTAAAAGAGCTGATTTGAACAACGAACGAGAACTCAACCACATAGCCAATAATAATACAAACAAACTGGAATCAACAGAAAATAATCCGATGTCTGCTCAAAGAGAAAATCGTCGTTTAGATAGTAAGTTTATTGAGATTCATCTTTCTGTTCTTATTTGCCGTTGATACAGACTAGAAACGAAAAGTTACAGTTTAGTGAAATTTTGGATACGTTTAATTTAGCTTAGTTTAGTAGGTTGCTTTCATCACAAATTGATCTCTGTTTGGGTACCATCAAAAACTAGGAAGCACTGACAGCTATCTCATTCCCCAGTATGAACCTCCTAAATAATTCTTATCCCCGACCCCACCAGGAATAGCACTCTGAGCTTTCAGGTTTGGAGAAATTCCAACCACTCAAACTACTGAGTCGGGAGTCGGACCCAAGACTTTCGGTCCCGTGCTCAAACGCCTAACCTCTAGACCACTATTCGAACTTAACGTTTAACCATACACCTCAAGTAACTTTTTCTCAAAACGATTACTAGACCATTAAATTAAGTGTATCCATCTAAGGCTTTATAATTAACTTTTTAATTGTTATATCTCATAAGCATCTATAATATAGATTTTATGGCCTTCCCATTTATATATGTATATTTTTTGCAGATAGCCGATCACATATTCGTAACGAAAAATCCACAGATAATATTGCACTTCAACGATTCAAAAATTATATGCGCGATAAAAGACGTCGGTGATAATTTTATTCCCTCCTATTTTTTTTATCTTGACAGGACTATGTTTCTTCTTTTTTAGTGATACTATGTTTTAAGGTATATTGTATAATGCAAATGTACATTGTAAATATGATTTATTACTATTATTATGACTATTACTATCGTTGTTTAATGTGTTTCCTAAAAAGTGCTGAGTTGTGAATGGACTGATTTGTTATGGTATCAATCATTGTGTATTAGCTTAACGATAGTATCATCTAAGGTTATACAGAACTATTATTTCAGTAATCTCATAGAATATCTGTTGCAATAAGTACTTTAGACAACAAATCTAGCTAACCGTTTACAATGCATAATTATAATTGCCAAATTATTTTGCTATTGAAAAATCCATTGCATCGTACAACCCACTTAAAACTAGGAAGTAGTAAAGTTCAGCGATTCGAATAGTTCGAAGTAAAAAAAATAAAACATACTATGAATATAAAATCCGAGTATCTTAGTAATCCATGTATGTGTATAATCTTAATTCAACTAACTTGAATTACACTAGAATGGTATGGTTGTATATCCGTATGTTATACAAATAAGTCAGTCGAACCTTTTCATGGAATTCGTCGAAATACCAAAATGACAATAAAGAGTTGGGAGGGATGACACCTCTTTTTTAAAATGAAGCTTGTCGAGAAAGCAACCTCCAAACTATCCAGGAATATATCTATCAAAAAAACGACTAAAGTGAACAATACCTTTCACAAATTTTGCTTTGTAGTGTGAAAATTTTATTTCGGTTGAACTCTGCTATGATGCAATTATTGGGCTAAAACCAGCCTGTTTTATTAGAAAACGTTGGTAATCAACGCCTTTCTCAGTAATGGTGGTTAAAAAAGGTTCGCGTAATTATGAACACGACCCGGTGTGTTGGGTTTAAAAATTATATTCCCTCATGTTAGATATTTCCTTTGTAATTATGCAATAGAATTAACTGAAATGTTACAGAAACTTCTTCAAAACTTTCCAAATTAAGCTACATTCAAATTTCACTCTCCACATAATTTACTTTTCTTTAGTGAATTTCGTAATTCCTAATTCTGTTAAAATATTAGATTCATCAAAATTATTAGCTTATATGTTAAAGAAATGTAATAAATTCATCGTATTCGAGAAACCTTGCTTTTGCTTTCTATAAATTTGCCAAGGGGTTCATTTGAGTGATAATCAGTTACCAAACGGCAAATACTCTCAGTTGTCACAACTGTGATTAAAAGATCTGTTAAATGTCATCATCGTTGTGTTTCAACACTAGGTCAACGATAGCTCCGCCTCTCGAGATCCTTTCATGCAGAGGCTCTAACAGCTATTCTACAGTATCTTGAAAAGTTACAATAACATTTCAGACATCCTTATTATTTATCGATCTGAGATTTTGTCATCACATGAACATGTACAACGATTTTGTTATTAGTATGAAGAAATTAGTACTCTTTCCAGAAGTATAAAGATTGTAAATATGTCTTCTTGAAGTTAATTTGTTTTTTTTTTGTTAGGCTCTATTACATAAATGAAATGTAATAAGTTAATACCCTAATTTTCTACATTTTAACATTTTTCACAAGATTATAGTTGAAACGAACAGAATTCAATTAATGTCAACAATTTAAATTATTAATGTATTTGTAATATCTAAATGGGTAGAAAAATAAGATTTTCTGACGTTTCATGACTCAGCGTAAGCCACTTCTTCAGAGAATAAATAACCAGATTACGTTTGAATAGTACAAAGAAACAACGCAAGAATATTATGTATGAGTTGACTAGACTTTTAATATTCTTATGTTGTCCCTTTGTACTATTTAAACTTGGATTAATTTTGATTTGGTTATTTGTTCTCTGAAGAAGTGGCTTACATTGAGTTACAAAACGTCAGAAAATCTAATTTTTCTGCTCATTGGGCTATTACAAATATATTAATTAATTTATTTATAAAAATTACCCAATTCACTTGATATTGTTTTACTTGAATCTTCCCATTAATGTTTAGGAATGCAATTTATCAGTCTCTTATTGGCATATGTGCATACTATGCGGATTGCCTCGATATAGTCTTAATTCACAAGCATTATATGCAACGACTCAGTAGCTAAGTGGATAGTGCAATGGCATGTGAAGCGAAGAGTACTGAATTCGAGCCTCAGAGTGAACATCAACTCTGAGGTGCAAGTACATCTAGCTGACGAGTCCTAAATAAGACAAAACGCGCGTCCTGAATTCCACTGCTAACCGCTATCGATCTTTGCATATAATCTACCCAATACTTAATTTATTCGAAATGATCAAGTCAAAACTTTGTAATGATACCAATTTAATTTATTGTTAATCATTAAATATACAATTGAACATGTAACACATAAAGATATAATAGTAATTTACACTCTACGGTTAAATAGGTTTTCTCTTTTTTGTTTTTTTTGAAAAATAATTATTCAAACTAATTTGCAAAAAGGAGATACTTAATTTAAATATAATTTTGTTAAGAAATGTATATCAGTAAATCATTAGAGAATATACAATATTATTATTATATCATAGATTAAGATGATTGTACAATTGAAATAGTTTTAACCCTCTCACAACTCTCACCCTTTTCCACTCCCGAAAAACAAAATAAGTAAACTATTTATTACAATCAAATAAATAAAAAAACTGACCTATTCTTAAATGAATGATGTACATACTGATCAAAGTTATTGAATGTTTAATGGATATTAAATATCTATCCCTGATTAATTAATCTATTAAAATGATATTGTGTTCATTTCATCTATTTCACATACATCTCTATTACATGTTGTTTAAATGGATAATAGAATAAGAAATATAATGGAATTACTAATTCTTTATCAATAAAAGAAAAATCATAAATGAAAAACTAAATAATGTTTCTTTTTCTTTAGAAAAAAAAACAACATTCTAATGTTTATTTCAATTGTTTATGACATTCCATTTCATGTTATTTTGTTAAATTGTTGCCAATATTTCTTCTTAAAGAATTAATAGTAACTGTACTGGAAAATAATTCTCTATAGTATGAATATTATAGATATTTAGATTTACCTGTATTCTGTATATAATTGTGCTTATTTAATTGCATAGGTTATTAAGTTTGATTTTAAAAAAATAAACTACTATCTTATAGTGAATTTTGTATTTGGATAGATGGTAGTTTACTGGTAAGTGATTGTGTATTTGTTTCAGTATCATTTCGAGACTCATCACTAATATGTTGTAATAATTCTTTTGATGTTGGAATTTTTGTAGCTGTAAATTGTACATCAGTAGGTGCATGAGTCAATTTTACAGATGGCATACGTATAGGAACAGGTGAACGTATGGTTGGTGTTTCTTGGGCTGATAATGTATCAGTTATTTTGATTTGATTCACACGATCAACGACTTTTTCTAATATAGCTTCAATGCGTTCTAAACGGCTATCTATTTGATTATTACGTAATTGTATACTTTCGCTATTAGTTGTTCCATCAGAACTACTTGTATTTTGACTGGTATATGGTCCTCTAAAACTAACTCCTGTGCCCAATGTGTGCCTACTATTTTGTAATGCAAAACTTTGTATTAAAATGAATTTTAATACGGCGTCAATTTCTTGTTTATATAATTTACCACGATCATCTGATTCACCCATTAATAATTTAATTCGCCTATTATTCTCTTCTTTAATTTTAATTAGTTGGTTTTCTCTAGTTAAATGTTTTTTCAAATTACTATTCTCTTCGTCAGGTGATTCATTTTCTTGTTCCTCCAAGTCATCATTTGACTCAGTTTTAAACAATTTTTTATTTCTTCCAAATGGAAATTTTATATCCTTACAAAAGCATTGACTAGTACCAATGTAGAAACAACGAAATAATTCATAAATTATGCATAATGTATTGAATGGTGGTGGTAACAATGTTCGTTCACTATATTCCTTAACCATTTTATAACGTCCAGCCAACCAATGTGCTGTTGACTTTTGATCAATTCTTGATACTGTATTACTGAACAATGCAATAAGTAGATTGATTAAGATAATATTAACAATTCCAACGTATAACACCAGAACAAAAAATATAACCGTATTAAATCCTAATTCACTGCCACAATATTTATTATCTTCACATGTCTCTTCTTCTAAAACAATACTCACTTCAAATATACTATAAAAGGCACGTCGAAATAATTCACTAAATGACATAAGCACTCCAAGTCTCTGCATATCACGTTGACGTGATAATTCAGTACTGTTCATTAAATGCTTATTTTGACGTTGCCCATGTGTTTCATAAAAACTATTTGGATATATTAATCCTTGAAACCATACTCCATAAGAGATGATGAAAATTGCAAATACTATTAATAATGGTATCAAATCTTTACGTAACATATCAGCCATCATTTTAAGTCGTGGACCAATAATTGGGGAAATTGAAGTAATATGAAGAGTTCTCATGTAAAAAAGATTTAGACCAAGCATATAAAGATTGCGAGTTGTATAAAGTATAACATCATGAGCTTCTTCGAATTCTGATCCATGTTTATTTACCACATTCATTCTTGTAAAAAATCCAATAGATGTCAAAGTGATTGCAAACACATCGATCCAATTCCAACCATCTCTAAAATAATCACTGAATCCATCTCGAGATGCTTCAAGTATCAGCTGTCTTAACTCCTCAAATGCATAACCCAATACATAAGATAAAGAAACTATTTCCATTCGACTACATGAAAAATGTAGATTATATACACATACAACTGAAAACAACATCAAAAATAGTAAATGAAATAAAGAGTGCAGGCAGAATTTCATTGAAGGTGACAAATAAACTCCTGTAACAAAATGGAATCTTGGTGAAGAGGTCCATCCAAATTGATTTGACATACGTTCGTAAATACCTACATGTGGTTTAGGGCCTTGAGATGAATGGACAGAGATGGTGTTCTGAACTTTCAGTGGCTTTGTGCGCTTTATGGTTAATGGATTGTTAGGTAATTGAGGTGTAGCAGGGAAAACTTTAGCTATAATATTCCCAGTAGATTTTGCTTCTGTACGACCTGCTGAGTCACTGAGTACGTTTGGGGTCACTTTACCACCCGA